TTTTACGTCGGTGTAGACTGTCGCTTTTACTCCTTCTAGGTAACACCTTCTGAAGGCTGATCGTCAGTGACTTCTTGTTGTATATGGAGTAGCTGATATTTGCTCCATGTAGATTTTTGTTGAGGTACATGATTGGTTGCAACTCGTGTTCGTAATCATGTATTAGTACTGCTCCGACGTCTGCTTCCACCACGCACTCCTTGTCTGGATCGGGCAGGAGAAGTACGGGGGCGGTGGTCAGGGATATTTGTAGCTTCTCCATGGCTTGTTGTTGATAAGTGTCCCATTTGTAGGGGGTATCCCATTCTAGTCAGTTTGTGAGAGGTGCTACTATCTTAGCGTATTGCGGCACGAACCTGTTGAAATAATTTGCAAAGACTAGGAACTGCTGCAACTCCTTGACGTCCTCTGGAACCTTCCACTCTTTGACGGCTTCTATCTTTTGTAGGTCTATATTCACTCCCTCTGCACTCACCATGTGCCCAATATATTGTCCCTTTTATAGAGAGAAGTCGCTCTTTGACATATTTACGTAAAAGTAATTCTTCCACAGGATCTCAAAGACTTTCTGCAGGTGCTTCACGTGCTTTACCATATTTTTGGAGTAGATGAGGATATCGTCTAGGTACACTACCACGCACTCGTCCAGCAGGGGTCGTAGAATGTGGTTCATTTCTGCCTGGAATGTTGCTGGTGCGTTGCAGAGTCCGAAGGGCATCACTAAGTGTTTGTTGGAGCCATATCGGTACGGAATGTCGTCTTGTGGATCGATTTTTCCACAATCTGGATTCGCCAGTAAAACCAGCCGTAAATCTAGTTCATATAGCATGCTTTTAATAGTATGAGTAGGTAAAACTCAATATAAAAGTAAGTGGAAAGTAGAGAACTAAACTATAGTGAAGCTGAATAGAGGAAACATCGAGCGGGAAAAGAGTCAAGAAGGAAAAAGGCGAAACCACCGTTGCAATCAACGGTAACCAGATTCGATTCACTTAAGCAATAGCTAGGCAATAGACTCTTGGTTGGTTGGTTGTTTTCACACCGAGCATTATTTTGTGCCTAGCGCGAGTGGAGCCAATCAGAGCAAGCAATCACATTTTTGGAGTCTGAGCAGAGCTGAGCCTGCCGAGCTGTAGCCATTGAGCTTTGTAGCTCCACTTGTTTCCCATAATTGTAGATACTCGCCTTCCGATAGACCCAATCAATCTCGGGGTTCAATCGCTTCAAGAAGTCACGCCCCAAGATGAATTCTAACCCTGATGTTGGTGACGGGAAGTGTTGGTCTCCACCGTAGCACCCATGTCTGTATTTGAAAGGTTGACTCGTCGTGGATGGGTAGCCTGGTGTCGTCCACCATGGTTGCTGCGAACTAGATCTCCTTGTAGGACTCCCCAATTTTCTCCAACGTCCCACGGTTGCACACCGAGTGAAACGTTCCACTCTCCACCATCGCCAGTAGGTGCCATCCTTTGCAGAACAAAATGAGGAGTGGTTGCTGCCGCTCCGAGTAGCCGAAGATAGTCTCATTAATAGGATCGTAGGGTACATCAAGTTTAACAATATCATCTCTAGGTCATACACCCGAAGATGTAGATTCTATCTCAACTTTCACTTGAGGGTGGGTCGAAGGTTTTATTTGAGGTCGTTTTAACTGCTCCTGAGCCTGGAGCCTTTCCCTAAGCCTTTGCAGCTTTGTAGTGTCACGTATGTGTAGTGGGGAGCCTTAACACAATGGAAAAGAACGTTAACTCCTCATAACGCCCGACCCTTCTCGACGCTCCTGGGTTGATTCCCTAACCTTGCCAGTACCAGTAAAACATATAAATGTTTTCTCTTAGCCTCTGAATCTCCCCTAAAAATGTCAAAGGCTTTAAAACCACGAGAAGTAATCTTTAAGTATCTTTTATACGAAAATTTTAACGAATTGTTATTAGGCGGGGTGTACGGCTGGAGTATTCACATCGGGGAATAGTCTCCTTTCGCAGAGTCTCCATTTATCTCTACGATTTTCCCTGTTGTCGGCCGGTCGTGACGAGGTAGATTCCCGCCATCATTTTCTCCTTTTTCGCCCCCTCCGCAGCTGACACATTGTCGCGCTCGTGCCTTTTTTCACATCTTTTCCTCCTTGCCAGCTCGATCGGCTACTGAAGTTTCTCGTTTTTTTTACTTTGGGGGTCCTCCACTGCATTTCCATGTAGCTCGGCTTGTGCCGTTTTGATTTTCCAACACGCCAAGATTTGATGATCTGTAACGCCGCAGAATTCGCATGTTTTGGATTGCGCCGGTTCGCGTCGACCTTGTCGATATCCATTGGGTCGGCGGTCGTAGGAGGTGCCAATCGCTCCGCGCCGAAATTCCTGTTCGGTTGGTTGCGTCGTGTTCCGTGCGAGCTACTGTTGAGCATGTCAAACTGTTCGGCTGCGCTGACCACGTCTTGTACTTACTGTAGTTCATCGCCACGACTTGTCGGCGAATGCCGTTTTTCAGTCCCGCAATGTACGGCTGGGTTTTTTTCGCCCTCAGTTAGGTCGGCCATGCGACCGTAATAAGTCTCCATCTGCTGTGTATACTGCGCCACACTTGAAACCGTCGGTGTCGGTGGATATTTTTTAGCTCCATGTAATTATTGGTTTGGACCTGTCAATTTTAGCTGCCCGAAACTGCTGCCAGGTCCCTTCGCCTCATATGAAGGTAATGTTTGTGAAGATCCATTCCAGCAAGGGCCTCGCAACAGGGTCGTTGTGAGTTGTGTCTTGGTTCGGGGTTGTGCATCCAACGGTTTCGAAGTAGATCTCGAGTGTTGCGACGAATCGACGGACGTCGCTACCTCGCTCGGTCGAATAGAACGCCTTTGGTAGCCTCGGCTTCGGAGCCTCGAGATGAACTGTAGTCGTTGTCGTTGTTGCAGGTACAATTTTTAGTGCCGTTGCCGTTGCTGCTACTGTCGATGCGGCTGCCGATTGGTTCGCGAACAAATTTCGACCCGCTCGAGTTCCTCAAGTATCTGCTCCTGCTCCGCATGAAGTTGCACAATTGCTTGGAAAAAAATTGTCGGCAGTGCCCCCCATGCCTGTTTCGTTAACCGTACGAGGGGAATTAAAAGCCAAACGTGGAACTGGCTCTTTCGTACCCGAATCGGCGTGGCCGTCGTTGCCCCCCGGTTCTTTTAGGCTAGCTTGGTAGCGGACGAAATCTGAAGTGAGAACTAGTTATGTACATTAAATAGAGATCAGCTGGGTACAAGGTCGTGACTATATATAGGTACGATACAAGGCGGGTAACACTGGTGTTACTAAAAGGTGCCGAGGCTCTAGAACTGAAGGGTATCAAGCCTTCCCGAATTTGGTAGACGCATTCGGTGAATAATCACGCGCGCTCTAGCTAACGCGAGATAAATCGAGAAAATGGACACAATGCACACAATCCTATTCTGTGCTGCTGTGCAGAAACGGACACGGACGGCGTACTCTCACAGTACTAGAGTGGAAGGCTTTTGGTTCAAGTTCGCATGTGTGCGCATGTTGGTGCCACTGTTGATCCTGCTGTTGCCGTGTCCCAGGGCATTCCAGTGAGGGGGGGGGGGGGTGTTGCAAGACCTGCTCTGGGGATGCCACATTGATCCTCGAGAAGGGATACAGACATTCTAGCCTGGGGGGTTATGTTTGCACTCGCCCGTTAAAAAACCAGCCTTTTTTTCCCAGTGGTTAGTTGCTGGAATTATGAGTTTTAACCTTACAAGCGTCGTTAACCCTGCACCGCTACTGTAACTCCGCTTGCGACAGGCCCAGGGCTGATTTTATTGGGGTAATTACCCTGATTTAAGGGTGATTACAGGCTTCTCACCTGGTGGTCCCTGCAATTTCAGAATTTCTGACTTGTGAACACTGATCCATTCAGAATAGTGCTTTAGCGAACCCTGAAATACTGTATCTAGGCTCAGAGTAGTGTTCTTACTGACTCTGTCAATGTAGAGTACGCGTTCTGTGGACCCTGAATGCGAGGGTATCGGGACGAAGGTTCCCGGAAATTTCCTCCCGATACCTCCTCTTGTGCGTAATCATGATTTCGCTTGTACACCCTAATGCTCACTCAATCGCCCACTCTGAACACGCCCGCTGCCACTCCATACGCCCAGTGGTCGACATTCACAGCCAACGGCCCGCGCGTTACTAGCCCACGACAAAACCAAGATGTTCGAGTTTCCCAGACAAAACACGCTGGGCTACCCACAATTTCCGCAACTGTAGTTTTTTTGTCAACCTTTGTTCTACATTCAGTCCCATTCTGCCCCTAGTGAACGCATGCTCGAGAGAGGAGCACAGGGAAAGATGGGGAAGGGGACTGAAATGGGCATCATTTGTACAGTACAATCACCGCTGCCAACTTGGTTGTGCTTTCTGTTGACTTTGACCGGCGAGGAAGTGAGGCGTGGGAAATGTACAGTCGATGCTCAGCCTATCACAAAACATTTGCTCCCCACAATTAGAAATTTAGTCACTCGCGAACGTTTTGCCCGTGAGTGACTAAATTGATCATTGTGCCGATTTCAGGGTACAGTCACCAAGTTGAGGAAGAAAAACATCTACAGTTCATAAACAACAACGGTTGCCCATCATCAGAGAAGTTAACCTGGTTACAAATTCACGATTCACGTTGCAATTTCATATTACAGTCACATTTTTGCCGTGGCGACAAGGGCGAACGTGGCGAAATGTCTCGAACTCGTTTCACGCACATGCCGCCCGCCTACCTGGTGTTCTTGAAATGGGCACCGACTGTATAATCCGCGTGGGAGAAAATTGTGTGACTGACTGCAACACTGATTTCTTGCTCTGAACCCTGACGAATCAGAGTGAGACGTTGTTGGACACTGACCAATCAGAGTAGCAAACCTCTGAAAAATGTGCCCTCATAATACAGGGGGGATTTTTTTCCCGAAATCAGGGAGGCCCAAAATGAAACGTCAGCCCCTTTTTTCTCTCCTCTCCACCCGTCCCCTATCACCTCTGCCCTCTCTTCCACGAATACTTCTCATCACGCAGCAACCACACCAGATCTGCATTGAAAGGCGCGAAGAACGCCTCCAGGTACTCCTGTGTGACCCCATCCAGCTCCTCCCTCGCCATGCCTTCCAGCCGCTGCTCCACGCGCTCCAGTTTGACGATCCCCGCCCACTGCTCCTCCGCCACGTCAGCAGCGGGGAAGCCGAGGAAGTCGAGGGTTTGGGCGATGTGCGGGCGGGGGTTGGCCATGTAGTCCTCGAACCGCAGGAAGAGGAAGGCCTGGGGGTGGAAGGAGCGGAACCAGTCCTGAAAAGGGGAGGGGACGGGGGGGTGGGAGTGGATGAAGGGGACTGGGGTGTGTTGAGAGGGGCTGGTGGTGTGGCTCGGTGTGGGTTGGCCATGTAGTCCTCAACTGGAGAAAGAGAAGGCCTGTGGGTGGAAGGAGTGGAATCAGTCCTGACAGTGGGGGGGACGGGGGAGAGAGGGAGGAAATGGGAAGGGAGAAGGGAGGGGAGGTGGGGGAGGAGGGGGTGAAGAGGGATAGCAGGGAGTGGAATGGCTTGGTGTGTGGTTTGGCCATGCAGTGTCTGAAGTGGAGGGAGACGAAGGCCTGTGGGTGGAATCAGAGGAACCAGTCACGAAGAGGGGAGGGGAGTAGCATAGAGAGGGGGGGAAATGAAAGGTGTTGGGTGGGGGAGAGGGAGGTCAGAGAAGGGTGAAAGGGGAAGGGGGATGGGGAAGGAGAAGGGGAGGGGAGAGGGAGAGGAGAAAGGAGGAGGGGGAAGGTTGGAAAGTGGCTGTATCAACGAGGGTGGAATGGGAGCAATGAAAAGGGAGGAATCAAAAAGAATCTCCAGGTTGATCATTCAAACCTGCTTCCCCACTGCTAAGAGGGAGTGGGGGGAGCGGAGGTGGAGGGTGGCTTGCTCGAGGATGGTGGGGTGGGTGAGAGTGACGAAGTGCAGAGAAAAGTCCCACTTGGTCCCCCTCCACTAGCACTGTGGGTGGGTGGAGGAGGAGGAGGAGGAGGAGGAGGAGGAGGAGGAGGAGGAGGAGGAGGAGGAGGAGGAGGAGGAGGAGGATGAGGAGGAGGAGGAGGAGGAGGAGGAGGAGGAGGATGAGGAGGAGGAGGAGGAGGAGGAGGAGGAGGAGGAGGAGGAGGAGGAGCTAGGCAAAAGGAAGGGGGCAGGGAGTGCAGCTAGGAATGGGGGCCTCAGTGCATATCTGTCACCTCACAACACACCTGTCGCCTCACAACACACCTGTCGCCTCACAACACACCTGTCACCTCACAACACACCTGTCACCTCACAACACACCTGGATGAAGTAAGCATAGAATGATCCGCACAGGTCCGGCATGTCTCTGAACAGCTTCCGCACACACGCATGCACACCCCCCTTCTCCACACACGCACTCATGCGCGCTGTGGCATCTCGAGCCTGGGGCGGTGGAGGAAGGTGTATGGAAGGGGAAACGTGGGGGGTGGTGTGGAGAAGGGGGAAGGGGAAGGGGAAGGGAAGGGGAGGTGCAAGGAAGGGGCTTGCAAATGCCTTGCGGAGATTTGGAAATGCATGCAGTGCTTTCTTCTCCACACGGATGTATGGGGTCAGAACTGCATGTTAGCAGACATTGTCTTCTCTTGCGCACTCAGCCTGTCCCATCTCCTCATTGATACGAAGGACCGTTTGAGAAGCAATTGGTGGAGGGGGAATATGGAACGAAGAAAGGCAGGTGGGATAGAGGAGGAGAGTAAACAGTGAGGGTGAGACATTCTTTCGTTTTATCTTCTGTAGTTTGGCCACGGGCTTCGGCCGCGCTGTACAGGACGACAGCACACGGTGTACAGACTGCAATCATGTTTAACATGCACATAAAACACACACACGCATTTCCTAGGGAGCTCCCAAGTCGGGAGTGACTATGGACGGATGGCCTGCAGCAGACCGGCGGCTCTATCTATGCTAGCCTGCCATGCACCAGGCGCCTCCGCTCCGCCCTACAACTGCTCTGCTACGCCCGCACTCTCCAAAAACCACACCACGGTCTTATCAACAAGACGAAGCACTGGCACGCAGCCATCAACAGCATTTACAGCATTTATATGGTGGCACAACGTGCAAATAGCAGCAGGAATATTTGCGAGTGCCCAGGCGCCACCGCCGCCACCTCGGCGGCTGCCAGAGCGGGTCCGAATATGGCTGCCTACGTCCTTGCGCGCGCCGACGCTGTTCCCCCCGCCTGTTCTGGCTCCCAGAGCTGGCCCCCCTTCCGACTCCGGCTCTCAAAGATGCCCCCTTTTGTGGCGGAGACGAGCGCTGGAGAGAATCCCACCGTGTTGACTGCGACTGGCTGCGACCCACCTCCAAGATGGACCACAGCGAGGGAGATGTTGAGGGCCGCCGAGGCGACGGGCTACAGCACTCGCCGGGCAGCCGTGGGGCCTACCCGGTGAGGGGGATAGCGTTGGCGTGCGCAAGGCTACCTCACTCGTCCTCGCGTCCACGAGCCTGCCATCGCACACGGAGGCTCGACGCACGAAAGCACCAGCAGCAACAGCAGTGGTGGTCACCCCTCACACTCAGAGTCACTTCCTCCTGCTCACCGGACTGGGCTACCATCTCCAATCGGTTACCCCAATTCAGGCAAGCTCTACACTGACGCCTGTGCAGAAATCAACCTTCCCCTTCTGCCACGGACCGCCACAGACATCCCTTGCCACGCGCGGCAGCCTGGCGAAGGCCTTGCAAGCCCTTGAGAGCACCCCAGTCAGCCTGTCCAACTGTGAGACTCTGGAGGCCCTCCAATCTCGTCTCCCCAATGCCATCCCCTTCCTTCCAGAATGACAGGTAACCTACCAGCCCCCAAGCTCACCTGTCATCTCCTTTTGAGACATACGGTTGCTCCTCTCCGGATGCAAGAACAGCATCGGCGCCATGGCAACTGCCATGTGCTTCAAACACCTATATGACGCCCCCTTAACACCTTCTGGCCCTCGCGAACATGGCACTCGCAGGGAGGCTCACCACATGGAGGCAACCCTTGCCTTCGCCAAGCCTAAGCGCTTTTGAGGCACCTCAAAAGCCTTCACCAGACCAATGGCTCTCCGCCTATGGCCAAGCCTAAGCGCTTTTGAGAAAGGTCGTCCATCACCTCATTGCAAAAGCGGCCCTCCTGATCGCTGCTTCCCAGTGTTCCCTTGTGTGCCCACACTTCCTCCCAATCCGGTACGAAGGGGGTATTGTAGGGGCACGGGTCGAAGCAATCATCCACTCCTCCAGAACCTACCTTGAGGAATTCTCCCCTTCCATCCATCCACACACACACCCCGCCCTCCACGTCAACGTCAGTAACGCTTTGAACGCCATCGAGAGTGGGGGCGGGCGGGCGTATTCAAGGGCCTTTGTCATTGCCCCCGGGAGTTCCTCATTCCCGTCACCGCATTTTCCTACAGCAGCAGCCACTCACGGGTCGTACTGGATTGGACAACACTTCCTCGACACCGCGTTCAACTCAACACCCACCTCATCAGCGCCACAGGTGTTTGTTCGCCAGGGGGATGCCATGCCGTGGGCTGGGCCCCCTCTCCTGTTCGCTGCCGTCATCCACCCCAGCAGTGGCCGCCTCCCACCCTACTGTCGTCATCCTGGCTGGCACTCAGGCGGGAGGCGGCGAGCCACTGCTTTGAGCTTCTTCACTCCACCGTGAGTGCTCCACCGTGAGTGATCTGCTGCCCCCCCCCAAGACTGCTCTGCTGCTTTCGAATCCTTGATATCGGCCAGCAGCCTCCTGTCCACAACCTCTCCAAATGCGAGGGATGGTGGCCCAGCCCTCAACCAAACCTGCTTCTGTCTGCCGACCCGCGCCACCCTCTGCAGTAGTGGCCTGCGTGTTGTTCTCGGCGGCCCTGTGAGGTCCACAGCCTTCAGCGTGGCGTTCATCCAGCAGCGCCTCTCGATCAGATGCTGAAATCCTCCGTGTTCCAAATCAGCATCTGAAATCGTCTCCTAGGTCAACCCCCAAATCTGCCTCCTCTTCCTTTTCTCCCTCTGCATCGGCCGCGTGTCATTTTTGCTCCGTACCTCTCCACCAAACACCCTACCTGCGAAGGAATGGTCGGAATGGGGTAAAGCATCCTACCACATCGGTGTGCCACGCCACATCAACCCCCCTGCATCGCCACCCTGGGGTTCAGTCCCGCACTTGGCGCCAGACCTCCCTCCCAATATCCCTGGGCGGGCTCGGCCTCTCATACCTAGCCGCAGAGCAGTTTCCTGGCGTTAACGGCCGCAACAGCGCATTTACTCAGTGCCACCAGCGGCTCACTGCACCCTAGCATCGCGGCTCTTTTCCCGCTCTTCAGCCCAAACCCTAACAGCCGAGCAGCTCTCCCAAGACGCCCGGCTGTAGCGGACAGAAACCACCGCCACAGCCTGCCTCCTCGCTTCACCTACTCTGAGACGGCTTAGAATCGCTCAACGCGCAGTGGGGTGTGAGCCTACCTGTGCAGACCGCAAGATTCTATGCTGCTGGAGGAGAGCAACCCCCCGCTCAGGAATATGGAGCTGAACGCCCTGCTCGGACACAGCCAGCGCCCGCACACCCTTCTTCGTCGGTGTTGGTGCGCCTGGGCCGTGGTGTTTCGTTTGAGCCTGCCACACCTTGTGCCCACCGCATGTGACTGGAACGACGCAACAGAGATACTCGGCCCACGTCTCCCAAACCATCTGCTCTGCTGCAGGACCGGCGAAGGGAGGACTGGCACTCACAATGATGCTGTGCGCGATGAAATGCGCATTTGCATTGACCAGGATCGCATCCGACTCCGATCTCACGGTCCACAAAGAGCTGAAGGGCTCAGGGTGGATCTCGCCATGCGCCAACCCAACTCGGGGGGGCGTGTGGCTGTATGATGTGACGGTGACAGACCCAATCTCTCTGCAAGACCCCATGGCCTTCCACAGCATTGGTTGGGTGGCCAAGAAGCTACCCGTCCCAAAGAACAGAAATCCCACTGCAACCGGACGGCCTGGGTCGGGTTCTAGGCATTGGCTGTGGAGACGTACGGGTACGTTTCATCGGGTAAGCTCAAGTTCTTCTACAGGTGCGCCACCCTTGTGGCTAAACAACTCCAAGCCGAGCCGGGCAGAGCCGGCCGGTTCTTGAGAGCCAGGTTCCTGCAAAACGGCCAGCCCTTCCAGCACTACCGCCAGCGGTGGTCCATCCATCGATCATCCTCCAACACGCTAAGGAGTCAGGCCAACAATGCCCTAACCGCCAAGTCCCACACCGCCTTGGTGGCCGGCACGGGTGGAGCCCATTGACGTGCTTCATGAGCCCATTGACTTGGGGGGGGGCTTGATGCAAGCCCTGGGGCCAGCTTGCGAGCTCGTGTACGGCGGTTCTGGGCGTAGCTTTGCTTGTCATGTACTCACCTTCCATTGCAATGTAGCCCCATGTATATACAAGGACCATTCGAGGGTGAGAACGCATTGTGGGAGAGATGCAAATAGAGAAAGCGAGATCGAGTTGCATAGTGGGTGTGTGGAGGGATGGGAAGGGGACGGGGAGGGATTAAGATACGGGAGAGCGGGGGCAAACAGTGCAAAATGATGTAGTGTGATGCGGTGTGATGCAGTGCAGTGCGGGCACTCACGTATTTATGAAAGTCCCTGGGCACGGAGGGCGAGGGGTTGACAGCGGCAGCGAGGTTAAACTCGGAGAAGAAACGGTCGACGGGGTTCCTGAGAATCACAATGAACTTGCTCCTGGGCAACACCAGGTGCAGCAGCTGCGGCACCGTGTGCCTGACGTCCACATGGCCTCGCAACACCACGCCTGAGCTTGTGAGCAGCGTGCTGGACGCCTCGCATGTCACCATGTGCTGCGCTGCCTCGTCAAACAGCGACACGTACCACGCAAAGTCCCGTGCGCCATTGCGGTCCCACCTGCACAAGGGAGGGTGGGGATGGGGAAGCGGGGGTATGGAGGCAGGAGAGGGGAGGAGGGGGGGGGGGGGGAAACCGCGGGGAAGGGATGGGAAGTGGAGGGGTGGAGGCGAGCAGGGAGATGTGATGGGTGGGGGTGTGTGTCTCTCGGGCAGTTGCGGTCCTAGTTTAAAAGGTTTGGGATGCTTAAGGATGGGGAAGGGGAGGGTACGGCGCGTCAGAATTCGTCCGATGTATGCTACACAACGTGGTTGAAGGGCTGTGTCTTGAGAGGTTCTACAAAGAACAGGGGTTCATGAGAGGGCTGGAGTTGAGGATGACGAGAAGAGGGGAGGGAGGGGAGTGGCTGTGGGGAGATGAGGATGGTGGTTGTTGTGTGGCAGGAGGGGAGAGGACGAGAGGCAGGGAAGCAGAAAAGGGAGGACGATATAGAGGACTGCGATTGAGCTGTTGGTGGAAGCATTCAAAGAAGAAGAAACTGCACGGGGGTGGTGTGTGGATGGGCGGAGAGGATTGTTAGAGGGAATTGAGTCATAAACGTTGTGCATTATTGATTGTTGCTGGGATGGGATGGCATGGCAGCACAGGAACTGACTAGGGCGAGGATAAGGATTGGCAAGGATTGTTGAATTGTGCTCATCATGAGCTGGGGAGAAGGCAAGGCAGGTCCTCCTACCACTAGGGGTTGGGGATGGCGGCTGGGAATATGCCCGGGATGATGGAGGAGGTGAGCTTGCGGTACAGGTCCTGCGTGCCCGCCCTGGAATGGTGGGCGGGATAGGCATGTGCGACAGGGGGGCGGGGAGGAAGCGAAGGACAGAGCAGGCATGATGGAGGACGTGAGCTTGCGGTACAGATCCTGTGTGCCCGCCCTGGCAGTGTCGGCATTGTGGTGGGATATGCATGCAGGCAGTGGGTGCGAGACAAGGGGGGTGGGAAAGGGAAGAACAAGACGGAGCGGGCGTGATGAGTGAGGGGTGAGGTTCTGGTACAGATCCTTCTTGCATGGCGGCACTGAGAGTGTGTGGGTAGGGTACACGCATGGTGCACAGGGAGGGGAAGGGGAAAGGAGAGGGAGTAGGAAGTACGGGGGCGAATGCAAGAAGGAGCAGTGAGGGACGGGGAACATTCTGGTACACGTGCAGCAGCAAGAGCAGGGGCAAGTGCAGGAGCAGGAGCCGACAGGGAAAACAGTTAATGAGAAAATATATGAAGAAGATCGCCTATGGCAGATGGAGAAGAAGAAAAGGGAAAGAAGCAAGTGGAGGCACACCTGGTGGCACCAATGATGAAGAAGTACGGCAGGCAGTGCGCCTCAGGTCCTGCCGCTCCCTCATTGCCCCCACTCCCCGCACTCCCCGCCGCACCCCCCGCCTGCACGCGCCAGCACGGGTTCCTCATGCTGCTGTCCATGCCCTGCCGGGGCAGCATCTTGAACTCCTCCCCAAACTTCATCCACATGTCCCGCGCCACTGCCCCCTCGCCGCCCGTGCCCCCCTGCTCCGCTGCTGACGCCCCTCCCCCGACTCGCTCCCCCCAATTCTCCCCCGCACTTCCTCCCCCGCCCCCGGCCACAGCCCCTGCCGCTTCCCTGCTGCACCCAACCCTCCTCCCATACCACCAGCACCACCAGCACCAACAACAGCACCAGCAGCACCATGCACAGGAACAGCAGCAGGAGCAGTAGCATCGGGATCCGGCAGTGTTGCGGACGACACACGTGTGTCGTCAAACTCCTGGGGCTCCAGGGCGGCTTCAGAGCCCTGCAGTGCGCGGCACAGCACCAGGCCCTGCTGCGACCCCACCACCACCAGCAGCACCTCCAGGTGCTCCAGCCCCTGCACTAGCGCCGGGGTGCCGTCCTGAGGGGGCGCTGGGCGGCCTAGCTGCCCGTGCTGGTTGTCGCCCCTAGAGGGAGGGAGGGCCAGGGGGGTTGGCAGCAGGTGGATCGGGAATGGCGGTTAAGAACAGGGGGCTGACAACGGTGGGGCAGTTGAGAGAGGGTGCTAAGGGGAGAGGAAGAGGCGGGGGGAAGGGAAGGTCGCCACCAGTCTGCCACCACCAGCAGCACCTCCAGGTGCTCCAGCCCCTGCACTGGCGCAGGGCTGCCGTCCCGGGAGGGCTCCGGGCGGCCCAGTTGCCCGTGCTGGTTGTCGCCCCTGGGGAGAGGAGGGAAGGCAAGAGGGGTTGGGAACGAGGGGGTTGGGAACGAAGGGGGTTGGGAACGGGGGGGTTGGGAACGGGGGGGTTGGGAACAGGGTGCTGGAATGGGGGGGTGTTGAGAACGGTGGGGATGGGTCTTGGCTGATGAGGCAGTGTCGTGAGGAGGGAAAGGAGTGGGGTTACGCCCATTGCCCACTCCGCCACCACCAGCAGCGGAGATGCACAGCACGAGAACCTCCAGGTACACCAAAGCTCTCACCAGGAGGTACTCTTGTCTGGGCCAGAACTGCGCAACTCACCACGAGTACACCACGCCGTGGCTCAGTCTCGCCACAGCGAACCCCTCCCCAGCCAACACCTGCTCCACCGTCTGCCAATCCAACCCAACCACCCCCTCCCCTCCCCCCGCCCCTCCTCCTCCGCTCCCAACAACTCCCGGCTTATTCGCCGGCACCGGCCCCTGGCCGTCTCCCCACGCGCGCCCCAGCCGGAAACCGTCTTCCTGGTGGGGGTGGGATAAGATGCGGGGATGGGTGGGATGGGGTGGGATCGGGTAGGATAGGATGTGCGAACGGGGTGGGACGGATGTAGGAGGGAAGTGATGGGGTGGGATGGGGCGGGCCGTGTTAGAAAGCTAGAATTAATACATTGAATAATGAGCCAAGAGGCTCTTTAGTACAAACAATGAGCAAGAGAGAGATGAGAGGGAAGCTTACCCTATTGGCCAATAAGTTGGCCAATGGGTGAGCTTGCTTGTGACCCAAGCAACCACAAATGTGTGTTGGTTGGGATTGGTTGAGCTAAGGACCAATCCCAACCAACCACAAAATGTGGTTGGAGGGTACACTAAGCAACCCCCCAATTTATAAATGTGCTACACTTCTAGCCTATGTATGTTGTATGAAATATGAAATTACAACACAACCCCCCAACATGCATAAGGCTAGAAGGCTAGAATCAAGAGGCGGGAGGCGACTTAGGAGGAGTGAGGCCAAGAAGACGAAGTAGGAAAGAGTGAGCGGCATGAGGAAGAGCTTTTGTGAAGATGTCGGCAAGGTTGGCCGCCGAGTCAACCTTGTCGAGGCGAAGGTGCCCCGCCTGAACAAGATCGCGAATGAAGAAATGATGGAGCTCAATGTGCTTGGAGCGCCCGTGAAACACAGCATCTTTGGTGAGGTGAATGGTACTAGCATTGTCACACCAAATTGTGGGACAGCGCTGGGGGGCACCAAGTTCCTCAAGAAGGAAGGTGAGCCAGCGGGCCTCTTGCGCAGCCATGGTGGCGGCATACAATTCCGCCTCGCAGGAGGAGAGGGCTGCAGCCGAGGAGCGGGTGGAGCGCCAGCTGATAAGGCCGCTGCCAAGAGAGAAGCCATAGCCCTGGGAGGAGCGACGATCTGGCCGGGAATCAGCCCAGGAGGAGTCACTGTAGCCGCTGAGGAGAGGTGGGGAGGGGCCGCCAAGGGTAAGGACATAGTCCTTGGTGCCACGAAGGTACCGGAGGACACGCTTGGCGGCCTGCCAGTGCTCTTCCGTATGCTTGCCTGCGCCAACAAAACGAGCGAGGACGCTGATGGGGTAGGCAAGGTCAGGGCGAGTGGAGACCATGGCGTACATGAGGGAGCCGATGAGCTCGGGATAAGGATGGGAGGAGGCTGAGGGGGAGGTGGGTGGAGAGAGGTGGTGCCCGACAGAAAGAGGAGTAGGTTGGGCGCCACCGCGGACCATGTCAAACCGCTCCAAGACCTGCTGCAAGTAATGACCCTGGGAGAGAGAGATGGTGCGGGCGGAGTGGTCGCGGGTGATGGTCATGCCCAGGTAATGCTGCAGCTCGCCCAAGTCCTTGCATTTGAGACGGCTGCCCAACTCAGCCTTAACACGCTCCAATTCGCCAAGGTCGGCAGTGAGCAGAATCATGTCATCGACATACACAAGGATGTAGAACGGGGAGGGGCAGGTGCGGAGGAAGAGGCTGGCGTCAGAGCGGGAGGTGCGGAACCCAAGTTCAGCAAGGGTGGCGGCAAGCTTAGCATGCCACTCCCTCGGGGCCTGTCGAAGCCCATACACAGGGCGACGCAGCTGCCAGACAGAGTCTGCAGGGAAGGGAAGGTGAAAACCGGCTGGACGCTCCATGTAGATAAGCTCGCGGAGGACGCCTTGGAGGAAAGCGTTAGAGACGTCCATCGAGTGGATCTCCATATTGAGGCGAGCGGCGAGGTCGAGCACGGCGCGAACAGTAGCAGGCTTGGCAGTGGGAGAGAAGGTATCGAAGAAGTCAAAACCATACCGCTGCGTGAACCCCTTGGCACAGTAACGAGCCTTATAGACGGGCGGCTCCCCTGGCAGCTGTTTGACGCGAAACACCCACTTCCCTTTCACCACGTTCGTAGAGGAGGGAGGGCGAGGCACATCAACGAAGGAGGAGTTGGCGACAAAGGCCTCCAGCTCCTTGATAATGGCGGCGAGCCAGAGTGGGGCGTCGGGGCAAGCCATGGCCTCCTCATACGTGGTAGGGATGAAAACGGAGGGAGCAGAGGAGAATGCGAATACTGGTGTCCTAGAAAGGTCAAAGGTGATGGGTAGAAGGGAAGGGTCACAGAGGTGGAGGTCAAGGAACTCCTCATGTGAGTCCTCGGAGAGGGAGGTGTGGAAGGAGCGGATGACCGTTGGTGCCGCTGGTGCCGCTGCACGTGCTGCTGTTGGTGCCGCTGCTGGTGCCACTGCTGGTGCCGCTGCTGGTGCCGCTGCTGGTGCCGCTGCTGGTGCCGCTGCTGGTGCCGCTGCTGGTGCCGCTGCTGGTGCCGCTGCTGGTGCCGCTGCTAGTGCCGCTGCTGGTGCCGCTGCTGGTGCCGCTGCTGGTCCCACTGCTGGTCCCGCTGCTGGTGCCGCTGCTGGTCTTGCTGCAGGTGCCGCTGCTGGTCCTGCTGCTGGTGCCGCTGCTGGTCCTGCTGCAGGTGCCGCTGCTGGTCCTGCTGCGGGTGCCGTTGCGGACGCTGCTGCTGGCGCCGCTGCTGGAGAGGTGGCAGAGGGGGCTGCTGGAGGAGGAGGTTGATGCAGAACAGCCTGGAAGAAGTGGTGAAGGAGAGGGGAGAGTGGGGGGAGGGTAGAGGTAGAGAGGGTAACAGGGGGCGGTGCACCAAGGATACTGTCACGTGACCTGGTATGGGGGTACCGGGTAAGTACGGTGCGGGGAGGGGGGGAAGGACGAGTCGGCGGCGAGGGAGGTGAAGGAGGGGCGGGAGGGGCACTAGGAGAGGAATGTGTGGGGGAGACGGGAGAGGACAGAGGTTCCGGGTTAAATATATCACCAGACGAGGGAGGGGCACCGTGGGATGGGGACGACGGTGGAGGGGGGGGAGGGAGGATGGGGGGAGGAGGAAGTAGTGGGGGAGGGGTGGTGTCAGACCAGACGAGGGGACGGGGAAGACGGGGGAGTGGGTCAGTGGATGGGGGAGAGGAGTAGTAGGGAGTGGACTCATCAAAGACCACATCCCTATTGCGGAATAGACGACCTGAGGGGGGATGGAGTAAAAGGTAGTCAGGTGAGGAGGAGTTATGACCAAGAAAGATGCAGGGAAGGGTACGAGGGGCAAGCTTTCCCATAGAGCGGGAGCGGTCAGTGGGGTGAAGGAGAACATAAGCCTTTGAGCCCCAGACACGAAGAGACGAGACATCAGGTTTGTTGTTCGTCCACAGCTCAGTGGGGGTGGTGGATGGGAGAAGAGGGTGAGGGTAAAGGTTAGTAAGGAGGGCGGCATGAAGGAGGGCGTAGCCCCACAGAGAAGGAGGGCAGGAGGCGTGGACAAGAAGACACCGGGCAGTTTTGGTGATCTCTCGAACACGACTTTCAGCCACACCGTTCTGCTGTGGGGAGTGAGGGAGGGTGTAAGTCTGAAGAATGCCATGAGACTGAGAATAGGAGGATATTTGGTTGTTAAGGAACTCACCACCACAATCAGAGTGAAGGCGGCAAACAGGGCGCCCAAAATGGGTATTTACCCGCTCGAGCCAGGCGATGATCGCAGCCGGGGCATCTGCCTTCGTCCGAAGGAGAGAGACGGACGAATACCGTCTGTGATCATCAACGAGTACGAGGAGGTATCGATGGCCTTGGTGAGTGGGAGAGGGATTGGGGCCCCAGAGGTCCATGTGAACAAGATCAAGTGGCTAAGCAGCAGCGGAGGGGGAGCTCCGGTGCGGCTGCTGCTTGAGCTTGCTATGAACGCAGACGGTGCAGGGGGGGGCAGGGGATTTGGGGAGGGGAGGGAGGGAGGAGGGGAGACCGTGGAGGAGACCGGTGGAAACAGAGGAGCGTAGAGTAGCAAAGTTAGGGTGACCTAGCCTGTGATGGAGGAGGACGGCTGGGTGGGAGAGGGAGCGACAGGAGCAAGAGGAGTCAAGGGGGGGGCGGGAGGGGAGGTCCGGGTTAGTGGGAGGGAGAGGAGGAGGTGGGATGAGAGGGTGGAGGGGGGGACGAGAGATGACCTGACAGGAGGGGAGGCGAGGAACCCGAAGGGTGTACAGACGGGAGCGAGGGCAAAAGGGAATGGGAGTAAGGAACTGACCGGTGGCGGAATGGTAGAGAGCGCAATAGTTAGCATGAGCTGGGAATACTGTGGTGATACCGGCTTGCTGAAGGGACCTTTGCGAAAGGAGATTAGCGCAAAGAGAGGGTATGTGGAGACCGGTGACAGTGCCTTAGGGGAAGAGTGGGCAGGGGAGAGTCGAGGTGTTATGGCAGGGGATAGAGAAGCTGCTGTCGGCGCCAAGGAGGGAGGTAGGCGTTGGGAGGGGGCGCAAGGTGCCAGCATCGCGAAGAACTGTGTCAGTGGCGCCGCTGTCGAGGACAAAATCGACAGTGGAGGAGAGGGAGGAGGAAGGGACAGAGGACTGGAACGCAGTTTTGTTAGTGCTAGAGGAGTATGTGGCAGGTGCAGTTGATGTGGCTTGATTGACCATACCAGCGATACCAACGGATGAGAAAGGTGGGACGATGCTTGAAGTGGCGGAGCTTGTGGAACAATGCGGAACTGAGTTCTGCTGGGAAGTTGGGGGAGGAGGAGGAAGAGGCAGCTGCGGTTGTAGGTCAAGGTGCTGCTGCAGGCGGTGAAGCAACTGCTGGAGCTGGAGGAGGAGGTGCCAGAGCTGCTGCTGGTGCTGCTGTTGCTGCGGTTGTTGCTGCTGCTGCTGCTGCTGCTGCTGCTGCTGCTGCTGCTGCTACTGCTGCTGCTGCTGCTGTTGCTGCTGTTGCTGCTGCGGAGGAGGAGGAGGAGGAGGAGGAGGAGGAGGAGGAGGAGGAGGAGGAGGAGGAGGAGGAGGAGGAGGAGGAGGAGGAGGTAGCGAGAAGGGTTGACTCGGGGCATGGTGGGCTTGGGTGGAGAGTTTAGACTGAAGTCCCCGAGTCGGGCCATAGCGAGGCACATATTCACGAGGAGAGAAGGCTGCTGCTGCGCCGCAGCCTGCGCTCAAGCCCCTGACACCACAATATCCTGCGAGTCTCCCTTGACCACCACCACAGCTGCCACTATGCCCTCCTCCATGCCCACCGGCACCACTGCTGATGCATGCCAGTGCGACTGTTGCCATGGGGGAAGCAATGTGGGGTGTGGGCGGTCACGGCATGGCGTAGGCGAGCAGGGCATGAAGGTGTGCGCAGGCAGCTGACGGTATGCGCAGGCGGGTGTGCTGTATGTGCTCCCATGTGTGCGGTATGTGCTGTCAGGTGTGCGGTATGTGCTGTCAGGTGTGCGGTATGTGCTGTCAGGTGTGCGGTATGTGCTGTCAGATATGCTGTATGCGCGTGCAGATGTGTTGTATGCCAGGGAGGTGGGCAGGGGGCGGACGAGGGGAGGGGGACAGCGAGCGGGGAAGGAGGGCGTGCAACGAGTGCGCGGACGGGGAGAGTGTGGACGACCGGAGCGCGGACGAGCAGGGCGTGCAGACGAACAGGGCGCGCGGACGGCTAGGGTGCGGATAACTAGGGCGCGCGGACGGGCAGGGCGCGGACGCGAAGGGCGGATGAGCAGGGCGTGCGGACGGGCAGGGCGCGGACGAGCAGGGCGTGCGGACGGGCAGGGCGGGGACGCGAAGGGCGAACGAGCAGAGCGCGGACGACAAGGGCGCGCGGTCGGACTAGCAAGGGCGTGCGAGTTGCAGATCTGAGCACGCGGAATGCAGATTTGGGCGCGGGAGAGTAGATCTGAGTGCGGAATGTGCAGATCTGAGCGCGAAATGCGCAGATCTGAGGGCAGGAGGAGTAGAGCAGGGCGCGGGAGGAGTAGATCTGAGCTCAGGAGGAGGAGATGTGAGCTCGGGAGGAGTAGATCTGAGCTCGGGAGGAGTAGATCTGAGCTCGGGAGGAGTAGATCTGAGCTCGGGAGGAGTAGATCTGAGCTCGGGAGGAGGATATCTGAGCTCGGGAGGAGTAGATCTGAGCTCGGGAGGAGTAGATCTGAGCTCGGGAGGAGTAGATCTGAGCTCGGGAGGAGTAGATCTGAGCTCGGGAGGAGTAGATCTGAGGTCGGGAGGAGTAGATCTGAGCTCGGGAGGAGTAGATCTGAGCCCGGGAGGAGTAGATCTGAGCTCGGGAGGAGTAGATCTGAGCTCGGGAGGAGTAGATTTGAGCTCGGGAGGAGTAGATCTGAGCTCGGGAGGAGTAGATCTGAGCTCGGGAGGAGGAGATGTGAGCTCGGAGGAGTAGATCTGAGCTTGGGAGCACCGTAGTAGGACTACGTCTGAGGGACGGGGAGGAGAGGGTGGCCTAAGGACCGAGGAATCAAGGCGTGAGCCAATAGCTCATGATACCATGTTAGAAAGCTAGAATTGATACATTGAATAATGAGCCAAGAGGCTCTTTAGTACAAACAATTAGCAAGAGAGAGATGAGAGGGAAGCTTACCCTATTGGCCAATAAGTTGGCCAATGGGTGAGCTTGCTTGTGACCCAAGCAACCACAAATGTGTGTTGGTTGGGATTGGTTGAGCTAAGGACCAATCCCAACCAACCACAAAATGTGGTTGGAGGGTACACTAAGCAACCCCCCAATTTATAAATGTGCTACACTTCTAGCCTATGTATGTTGTATGAAATATGAAATTACAACAGGCCGCGGAAGGGAGGGGAACAGGTGGGAGGGAGAGGGATGAGGAGGCGATATAGTGTTTTTGTGATTCATTTCCGTCTGCAAGAGTGTGGGCTTGCACGCAGCGAACTGTTGTGTGAATCGGAAAGTGTGCAAAAGGTGGGTGGGAACAGGAAGAGGGTAGAGGCAACAGCTCCTCCCCGGGCGGGCGCGTCCAACACAGGCCCCACCAAGGCAGCGATCTCCGCTGCATGCTGGAGGCATGCTTCTCCCGCCCGATCAATGTAAGATCCCGATGGGCTCCCCTGAAGAAGGACCTGCACCTTCTCCAGAATCAGCTGCACCATTGGCTGACACTCAGCCAGAAGCCACAGCTACCCCAAGCTCACCTTGGCGGTTGTCACCGTCGGCGGCCCAGGATCCGCGCGGTTGCGTGCCTGCATTGACGCCACCACGAGGCGGCGAGACGACCGGTGACCACCCTCGTGAGCCGTGGGGAAGTTACGTAGCAGTCGCGGTCGCACAGTCGATGCCACCGCCACGGCCTCCCCAGCAACACGAGGCCCACCAAGAGCGGCAGCGGCGGACGAACCAGGGAGCCGAGAACGGGATGGGTCAAGAGTTGGCGCTGGGTGTGGAGCAGCCGAGAAGGCGCGCGTCAGAGCGCCTTCAAGCACGGAAGGAAGCGACTGGAGCGCCCTCTCCAGGGACGACTGAGCGGGTCCAGTGTGGTAGGATCCACGCCCAGGGGATCCATTCCAGCCGCGCCAGCCACGGCCACGTCCGCGACCGCCATGGGAGGAGCGGGATCGGTTTGCAGGAGGAGCTGCACGACGCGCCGGTAGAACAGGCGGCTGGGGTCCAGCGGCGCCATCATCCGGACACGCAGGAGACGCGTGGCGGCGCACCGGGGACTGGCGGGGGGAACCAGCCCGTGGCGCTGGAGACTGCTCCCGCCGATGAGGCGACGCGCGAGGAGACCGCCCACGCCGAGACGGGGACGATCCGCCGTTCGGACCAGGAGCACGCGGTGACAACGGAGGAGCGCGGCCTGAGGGAGCCGATGGAGCTGCCGCGGCGACCTGACCCCCATCAGCCAAGGGAGCCTCGAGAGCCACAGGGACAACGGGAGAGGAGCGAGTTATCCCCGACGCGTGATCCTGTTCGGGAGCCAAACCAAGATCCGAGCGTGGAGGCACGCCAGCCACCCGAAGGGGCTCATGATGCGGCGCGCTCTCCACTGACGCCTCGCGCGCCGGAGAACGAGCTCGAGGAGATCGGCGCTCCTCCGCTTCCGCGAGCCCTGATTCCATCGTGGGAAGAAGTTGTATGGCTGGGAGACGATCCGCCAGTGACACCGGGACCGCCGGCGGGGAGAACGCTCGTACAGCCTCAAAGCGCGCGTGGGAGCACGCAGGGGTGAGGCGCGCGCGGGGGGAGACGAGGCAGGGGAAGCGGCAGGCAGTCAGCGCAGGCAGGCGGAAACGGGGGCGGAGCGATGAGCCCCACGTGGCTCAGAGAACCGGTGCTGCGAGTCACACAACAGGCAACCGCCCTGGCGCGGGCCAACGGCGGGGCTTGGGAAAGCGGAAGGGGACTGGGGGGAAGGCAAGCGCCTGATATGGACGAGGGAAGCGACGCAAGTTATAGGCCCGAAAATCACGCAAACCCCCCATCACCGGAGTCCCAGGCCATGCCCGCGGCGAACCCTACCCAGACACGTCGGACTAGAGGAGGCTCAGTCCGTTGCCAGCGAACAACGAGGCTACCACCAGACCAAGCCTTGTCACCAAACGACCTGGCAAAACGGGATGACCTATTCGCGATTGCGTCTGACTGGGACATCACGGAGCTCACCTCATCGCTCCAGCAGCCGATCGTCCGACGACTCCCACCACAGGTGCTCAGCGACTTTGCCACCTGCCTACTGGCGGCGCTAATGAGAATCTCAACATCCCCTAATTGCGTGGGGGCATGGAGGGTGTTGCTGTTTCTGCCACGACTTACACTACGCCTTAAAGCTCGCGTCTCATATTTCCAACCGTTTAACACTTGGTTGGGTTTGCCCGACTGTGATTGGGTAACGAAAACGAAATATTTGACGAGTGGGCGAAAAAATCACAGCGAACTACCAAAACAGTCGAGGCCAAAACAAACCAGGGTGGGTTGGTTTGGGTGGAAAACGAGCCAAGGGGGACAGGTTCGGTCCCCCCTTCTGTCAACGTTTAGTTTCAGAGTCTCATATTTTTGGAAGTTGTAAACGTTTGGTGTGCACGGGAAGTGTGCGACAGCCAACTTTCCCAAACCATCCCTTGCTTTGGTGTGCTTTGCGACAAACTTTGCTGTTACCAAATTCCAACCGTTTAACACTTGGTTGGATAGCAGAAATATGAGACGCGAGCTTTAACCGGAGATCTTCGTCCAGGTGAAAGGTCCTGCGGGCCCAGATGCATGACTTCAGATGCGGAAAATGGACCCAACTCTATGAAGATTGTCTGGCACCTGGCACACAAGGTGCACCACCACAGCACACCGAGGATCCAACCAGGGTTACCAGCAGGGCGGAGGGCTTAGTGAAACGAGGGAACCTGCGAAAAGCGCTCGTAGCATTACAACCTTCGCCAAATTCGCCACCAACGGAGGAAACTGTGGCCTCGCTAAAGGCGAAACACCCAACCTCAACTACACCTCAACTACCCCCCTCGCCCCGCTCATTCCACTCACTCGTTTGCTGTATGCAACACCGACGAAGCTGCTCCTCGGCGCAGAATTTGCTTCGCCGCCTCTGATCAGCAGCAGAGGGGTCCGCCAAGGGGACCCCTTGGGCCCCCTACTCTTCACGGCTGCCATTCAGGGCCATCTCCGCGACACAGCCGCGGCGTTCCCCAGCCTGACAGTGCTGGCCTACGCGGATGATGTCACGCTCTTGGGCCCACCCGCGGTGGCTTCGGCGGCCTTCATCGACCTTACCGAGCTTCTCGGCTGAAGTGGCCTTCAATGCAACTTGGACAAATCAGGCGCCTGGTCCCCCGAACCGCCAGCTAGCATCTCCCTGCCACCAGGCCTGACCCTAACAGACGGCAGCATAGTGGTGCTTGGGAGCCCCATCGGCACACGCCCCTTCTGTGCCGACAAGATCAGGGCCCCGCTTCTGGACTCCACCTCCCCGCTCGGACCCCTCACGCGCCTTCACCCATAGCATACCCTCCTGCTCCTCTCCCGCTGCGTTAGCAAACGCATCACCTTCCTGCTACGCACGACACCTATAGACTCTCTACCGCTACCGGAATGGGCGGAGTGGGGCAAGCAACTGTTGTTTACTGCCCTGGCATCGGCTAGACAGTACCCCCCACGACGCTCCTCCGAGCTCGACCTCCTCTGCAGGCAGGCCTCCCTGCCCGTGAGCCTCGGGGGACTTGGCCTCACTGACCCCACCTCCGAATCCGGCCCAGCCTACCTGGCCTCAACGACAGAGATTCGCCATCTCCTGCTGTCTCTCAACCTGCCTCAAACGAACCAACTTGCCCATGCTACCGACCTGCTGCTCCCAACCATATCGCCTCCAAACACCATCTTTGACCTCGAGGCCCGACTGCCGGAGAAAGCCCGTGCTATCCTGATGGAGGAACGCTCCAGCCGCAGCTGCGATCGCCTCCAGAGCATTTTATCGGACGAGGTCCAAGCAAGCAAGGCGGATGCGCTCCTGGCGGACTTCCGCACGGTTGAATCTTCCCCGGAGCTGGGCCACGCCCTGCGACTCATCAGCCTGAGGGGGGAGGGGGCAGGGGAGTGGCTGCAAGCGATCCCCTTCACACCGGACCTCACTTTCTCACCAGGACAATTTGGGACGGCCCTGGCTTTCCGCCTGGGCCTCAGGATGAGCGTGCCGACGGTATGCTCTTGTGGAGAACTCGTCCCTGACTGGTGCCTCCCTAACCACCTTCTCCGCTGCAGTGAAGGACCAGACAGGATCCGCACCCACAACCAACTGGCGTTTGCACTCGCCAAAATGGCTCGGGATGCGCAGTTGGTGGTGTATTTGGAAAATGCCATGTACTCACCGCCCGATGACCCCAAGAAGGCGGACGTCATCGTCCGGGATCCGGAAACGAGTGAAATCTGCATCACCGATGTTACCATCACTGACACCGTGCTTCTGAATAGGGACCCTACAGCCCGAAAACCACCAGGATGGGCAGCACGGGAGGCCGCTCGGCGCAAGGACAGCGAGTACTACCGCCACACTGAGCACGTGGGCTTTTTCGCCCTGGCAGTGGAGACCTATGGAGCCCAAGCCCTGTCCACCGCGGCCTTCCTCAAGCTGCTCTCGACCGCAGCGGCCCGGAACCGTTTCCGCGCCAACCCCCTGGCCAAGACAGCGAAGAAGGTGGCAGCCCACTTCCGGCAGCGCTGGGCAGTCATGCTCCAGCGCAGCCAAGCGAACGCCTTACACGCAAAGGCGCGGGCGAGCATTGAAGCGGCACACCCGCAGGCTCCGGCGGACCCCTGGCCCCTGCAGCTAGGGGACCTCCTCCACACCCTCGAGTAAGGGGAGGTGCTAGGGGGCGGGTAGATGTAGAGAGGTATATTTGCACGTGTCAAACATTATATATGTTTTTGTTGTGTAGGCTATAGCGGGTTAGCCTTTAAGGGGTATATCATTCTAGGGTTTGCTACTTGTATCACCCAATGTTCATAGTTCAATCACTTGTTGATTCTGACATGGTATTAAGAGCGTAGGTCCTAGCCCTAGGACCGCTTACCTAAGGGCCCATCGTTCCGCTAGTTGCGCCCTCGTGCGCCTTCTCCTAATCGTGCCCTCGTGCGCCTCACGCCTAGTGCGCCCTCGAGCGCCCCGCTTTTTCGGCCGCGTCGCTCGCTAGTCGCTCGCGCGGCCCGTTTTTTGCCCGCGTAGCCTGCTAGCCGCCCGCGCGCGGCCCTTTTCTGAGCGCGCGCCGACCCCTAGCCGCCCGTGCGACCGGCGCCGCCCACGAGCAGCCCCTAGCCGCCCGTCGACCGCCGCCTCGAGCGTCACAGCCACGCCCGTAGGCCGCCGCGACACCCTCTCTAGGCCGCCGCCCGCGCGCTAGTCAGGCTCACGCGCAGCCACGGCCCGCCCGCTACAGCCGCCCACGCGCACGCCCCCAGTCGCACACCGCCGTGTAGCCCGAGCCGAGCCGCGCCGCCCGAACCGAGCCGCGCCGCCCGAACCGAGCCGCGCCGCCCGAACCGAGCCGCGCCGCCCTGGCCGAGCCGCGCCGCCCTGGCCGAGCCGCGCCGCCCTACTGTGCCCCACCTGCAACAACTCCTGTTCCTACCGTACTACTGCTTCAGCTGCAACTGATACTGCTACTGCTACTACTGCTACTGTTCCTACTGCAACTATGGCCACTCCCTCTATTCTCACCTTTGATGCTGAGGGCCGCCCGATTAAGTTTGAGGTTTGGTTAGATGAACTCCACCTGTTCCTCCAGATCACTGCCAAGGACGATGTCTCCCTGTATGACCACACGTCAGGCGCTGCTCCCGCACCTCCCGCTACTGCTGACAGTACTGCTCGCTCCCAGTGGCAGACCCGTGATGCTCACGCTCGCCTAGCCGTTTGCAGCCACCTGCCGTTAGATGAACGCGAGCACTTCGGCCAGCATAAGACCGCTAAGGAGCTGTACGACGCAGTAGTCGCGCGCTACTCCTCCCCTGCCACTGCTGCTATACGCCGTCTCTCACTGCCCTACCTCTTCCCCGACCTGTCCGCCTTTGCCACTGTAGCTGACCTCATCACCCACCTCCGTACCAGTGACCTCCGCTACCGTGCCGCACTCCCCCCCGATTTCCTCGCCAAGAACCTCCCCCCCCGATGTACCTCACACTGTACCACCTTGTCACTCGCCTCCCTGACTCCCTTCGTACTGTCAGGGACCAGTTCCTCGCCCTCTCCCCCACTGACCTCACTGTCGACCTCCTCGAGAAGGAACTCCTAGCAGCTGAGAAGAGCATTGTAGCTGTAGGTGCCTCTCGTGGTGACCCCCGCACCCCCTTCTTTGAGGGGTGCTCCCCCTCCCCCCTCCTCCCCTACATTGCATCTGCTGCTGCTGTCGACTACCTCGGAGCTGAGGGGGTCGGCTCCTAGTGGTTGGCGCAAGGGCGGCAAGGGCAAGGGGGGCAAGGGTGGTGGAGGTGGAGGTGGGGGCGGCGGCGGTGGAGGGGGTGGGGTGGGCGGGGGTGGTGGCGGAGGTGGGAGTGGCGCGGGTGGTGGGGGGGTCGGTGGCGGCACAGGGGGTGGTGGCGGCGGCGGTGGTGGAGGTGGTGGGGG